CTGAGCTGAAGCTCAACACCCACCACCAAGATGACACATCAGGGCTTTGCTGGGCAAGTCACAGGCTTTAGCAAGCAGCCAGGTTTGCAAGTCTGGAGGCTGCATGCATTTGAGCAAAAGGTAATGAAAGGCAAATAATTCTTCATGTAGTATTTTTATTTTGTACTAAAGAAAACTAATTTTTAACTCCTTTGGCTCCTCATCACACTCTTTATTCATGCACTCTTGTGTCACTGCTGTCTGCTTAGACCAGAAAGCTTTGGGGCTGGGACTGTTACTGCAAGGGCAATGGGTGTGCATATTGTCAAAGAAAATGGAGGCTCAGCCTTCCCTGGTCCTACAGTAAGAAACATTAACAGCCAATTAAAAAGTGGTATTTTCACTGTGCGGGGGATTCTCTGCATGTTAATGAAAGTTGCAAATCTTATTAGACAACCAGGAAGGAACCAGCAGTAAAACCATGTCTCCCCAAACAAGCATCTTCCAAGGTTGCAAATCTCCTTCTCTAGAGTAAATGCTCTGAACTTGATCATTGCACCATCTTGTGGGCTCGAGCATCGGGAGGTAAAACAGGGCAGATGTTATTCTCCCTCCTCCTGAATTAAGAGCACAGGAGCACAAAATGCTGTTTTTTAAATATGTCCTTCTTGCATGCTCTAAATCAAATTCCACCTGTTAAATTCTTACAATTTTGAGCAGTATTAGGATTGGTTTGTAACATTTGGGACAAAATTGATTTTAAGCATAAAATTGAGATACTAAATTACATGAACTGACAGAATAAGGTGCATGTTTGTCCTACTAGACCACTAAATGATGTGTTGACCTTGTCCTTTACAGGAACACGTGAAATGTCATCAACCTTTGGCAGCACAAAGTCAATCACGTGCTACAAACATTGCTGGGCCTGATCCCTGGGTGAGCATGAGAAAGGCCAAACAGCCCCCAGCTATGTAGAGCCTTCACTCTTTGCCCAGAGCAATTCAGTGTCAATGCCTGTAGCATCTGAGAAATTTTAACAAAATATTTGGTAATGTGGCAATTGGAAGGAAACATACCCATAAATTTCCCTTGCATGACACTAATATCATCTTAGTTGCTGTTTTCTAGCAAGGAACAAGTCCTCTGACAATGCCTTATTCTTTTTCACTTATGTGAAATGAGGGAGAGACAAGTTAAAAAATTAACTGCTCTTCCATCTGCCTTCAACAGAAAAGGAGTGGAATTTCAAAATTTAGGACCTATTTCATTCTGAAAAGCTAAGATACACAGTATATCCCTTCCTCCCTTCTCATTAAGTGGATACAGCCAGCTAAAACTGATCCAGCTGAAACAGCAGCTACCAAGTCAAGAAAGAACACATCTTTAGATTTTAGTTAGTAGCTGGGATATATTATAGTAATTTATGGTTTTACATGAGTGATTATTTTAATGCTGATGTAGATACGACTGCTTTATAATACTAATCAAGAAGTAATGATGATAACCAGCATTTATATGAAATGTGAAGCTTGTGATTTACAAAAAGGAAATGGGAGTACTTGCAAGGCAGCCATTTCCCCACAATTATGTCTCTCCTCCCAGTGACATGAACCACACCACACTTGCTTTCCTGTCCTCATCATTTTCATGCAACATTGGAAAGAAGGGATGAGACCAATGCACCTTGCCTGGCACATGCAAGGAAACCATTTACACAACATCCATTCTAATTCATTCTACCTCAAACGTGATGTGCGATCAGCTGCCTGCAGTTTGTGCCTCTGAACACAGCCACATGACAAATTCCCTGTACAGAGATGACAGGTCAGTCCCATCCCATCTTGTTTAGTGCCCTGTATAAAAAGGAGCCTGAGGATTAGAGCCTAGTTACTGCTAAATACATACTTGCATCACAGAAGTGATTTTTGCAGCTGGCACCCTCTGTGCCATCTCAGTACAGAAGGAAAGACACAAACAAGATGACTATTACCCGGAGCAGCCATTCTCCATCAGATCAGCAGTCACTGCACATATTTTGTGGATAATATGTAATCACTGTGTTTTCTCTCACAAATGAATTACTAAATGACATTGCCATCTCTCATTGCTAAAATTCAGCTGGCACTCAGCCATTCTTAGCTTCACTGTGTAAGATTTTTTTACTTTCTGCTTTAATCCTTTCATCTATTTTAGATTTATCCGTGGTTGTTGGCTGTTGTTAAGTGCCAGGGACTCCTGCCAACTGTTCTCTTAAGCCTTTAGAAAATCCAAAATAATTGTATTTTAAAATCAGGATTTTTTTTCTGTTGCTTGTTCCCCAACACTGTAAAGTTGATGTGCTCCAAATGTAATTGAAACAGAATTGATTTTATTTCCCCTCCCCCCCAAGCACTGTAAGATAAATAGTAAGATTACATATGCTCCCATATAAGATCATAGTAATATGTTTAGGACACCTATTTTGTTCAAAAGGCACCATTTTCTAATGGGAGTAACACTTTTCCATTCATCCATCTTAGGGAAAAACAAGCCTGTTACAGGATCTCTGCTGAGGAAGTTTGGTTTTGATGAAAACAATCAACAAGAAATATTAAAATGAAACTCATGAACAGTTAACCGTAATAGATACCAACCTGTAACAATAAACCCAGATAAACTGTTTCCTGTTTACGTAAGTATTCCCAGATCAACTCTCCCCTATGTTAATGAGATAATTCTGATACATACTTAGAAAGAACAATTACAAAAACAAGTTGCAGCAAACCTATCTTGAGCAAATTAAACAGCACATTAAACAGTCAAGCAAAAATTTGCTGTTGTTTCTGTTTACTGAGGGCATGTGGCTACACTTACCTCCATTATCATTAATGGCATACAACCTCATTTAAATAAAAGCAGATTCCTTGTGCTCTTTCTGAAAACTTTAAAACCATTTTTATTTCCAATTCATATCATATCACCTCAGAAATGTCTTCTGTCAACATTCTAATACACAAGCTCTTAAAATCAGGAAAAAGTAGTTTTGTTTCATTAAGCACTTGGAACAGAATGTAAGTCTACTTTAAAATTTTAATTAAAATAAACATTGGAGCAACCTGTTCTTCACACTGCTCAAATACATTCAGATAAAAAGAAATGAATTAGTTCCAAACAAGTTTTGCATACTCCATTACCCAGGCTGAATGTTTATATTAAACCCTGCATGTATCACAGTAATGTTCCTAGGAGAAATCCAGATTAATTTACCTGCACGTTACAGTATCAGGCACTCTATTGCTTTTTGACATTTCTCTGAAAAACATCAAACCTGTTCTTCCGTGATTAACGTACATAACTCTGACTTTTCAATGAAAGAAACCGCTGTGAAATCCCGTATTTCATACAATTTATCCCCCAAGCGCAGATGCATGCGCTAGTTCTGCTAGTTTCACAGCCATCAGACAGCACACCTCACCAATGCTGTTAGAGGGACAGACACACTGCCCTCTGATGCCAGATGGGCACCAACAAGTCATAGCATCTTCTTTCTTTCAAGTAATCAGTCAAGAGACAAAGCAGTCAAGAAAACAGATTCAGGTCTTTACGTAAACTACACAGGGAAGTGCAGTCACAGCTGGGGCAGTTCCTGAAGTCTCACCTGTGACCCTGAACTGGAGTAACATTTAAGTTCTGCTGTCACCACTTTTTCCCTTTGTCCCATCACAAAAATAAGCAAGCTCACACTGTGACTGGTTTTATGGACTACAAACCCCTGGGTAAAGCTGTATCCTGCTTTTTATTTTATGGCAACCAAGAACTGTTCACCTACATTACTGCAGTAAAAATATTACTCATCACAAACGACAATTTTGGACTGTTTTGTTGGCTGTTCTGAATGGCTTTTTCCTAGCCACACCCCCTCTTGCAAAATTTCCAACTGGGCAAGTTTCATTGTTTTCAGAAGCAATACCAAGCTATCTTCTACTTGGAGCTGTACAGTTAACATTACTTTGATTCTTGTTGGCACAGAATGAGCATGCACAAGGAATTAGTTTATTAATAATGTTTACTTTTTTCAAAAAGCATACTCTAAAATCTTTCACTTGGTGACACCAAGTGGGCAAAATGCTCAGCAACATCTGCATTGTTAAGTCTGTCTTGGTAGACATGCTCAATCGGTCTACGTTTGATGAGACTCTTACATTCCACACTCCCCTATAAATACAAAAAGAGCATTGAAGTGTTACAGCCTGCCAGTTATATTGACATAGTTAATCTAATTGGGAATTTCAGCCTCAGATGCTCTTTTTCTAATTTAAGCACCTCCATTTTAAGTCCCCAAGATTCCCCCAAAACCCTTTAACTTCCATTTATCAACCTCCATTGTAGACCAACCTCAGAATGAGGTATTGTCACACAGGCAGCATTTTTTACTCTTAGTAGTGACACTGAAGAACACTGACAAGTTGCAGAGTATGAGTCTCTCTTCCCTTTCTCCACGTTTAATTTTAGATTCGCACATTTGGACCATTACTTAGAAGAGATGCAGAACAGTAGCTAGAATGCTATTGCTGCAGGAACAGATTTTGCCACCTCTGCAGCAGACTAAGAAAGGTTGAGGCCAAAATAGTGAAGAAATAGCAAGCCTGGAACAAACTGCAGAAAAAGTTGCATTTGCTCTTCTTGCTGTTAGGGGTATTTCAAGCCTAATCTCTCCGGTAATTACAGCAGCAGCATTAGTATCACTTGTTTAAACTGTTTAAATAAAGCAAGTAAATTATCAAACACCAGATAGAATGCTTACCAAACTAAAACCCTTTTACACTATCTGCAGTAGTTATACTGCAGTGTATATACATCTACTTTATAATATTATAGCAAATCACTGGAATACTCAGCAGGTTTATTAACAATGTGCTGCAGAATGGAAAGTCATTCCTTAATGCAGTGAAGTGACAAAACCACACCCAGTTGGGTTTTTGGAGAGAATTTTAATAGATGTGTAATCAAAACAGTGTAACTGTTACCATTTCTTAACCTTAGGGCAGAAAAATACATAGTTTACAAACAATAGTTCCCAAGCTCATGCGCATGTTTTGTTGGATTCCTTTTTCCTCAGACAAGATGTTTTCTGCATAAACACCTGTAATACAACAGCATAGATAAGTTAACCATTCAACACTAAGTGTTAAAACATTGTTGATGTAAGGGATATCATCAGAAAAACCTTTGCTCACCACCAGTCAATCTGCCGGTAATTCCAGCAATTTTTGGTTAGTTTCATCATATGATATCTCTAGGTAAACTGATACATTTCTAGCAGAAGCAAGACCTTTATCCCTTTGCTATACAGTGCCATCAGCAAAACTGTAGTGCAGGAGACAGCTGCTCTTATACATTTACTGTCTGTATTTTAGTCTACTGAGTATTTTTTTGCCTAGAACTTCATTAATTACACTTTTAGAGCTAAGAAGATACAGAAATAGTAACATAGCCAATAAGAATGTTCACAATTAGTTAATGTTTCTGAGACTACAGCCAAAACCCATTATGTTAAAACTAACAGCACACCAAATATTAAACTCACCCAGAAGAATCTCATGCTCTTGCTATCTCACTGCCTTCCACAGGACTTGTGGAGAGCTGTAATATCAATTGGTAGACATTACTAACAATTAGCACATGGCAGCAGAGGCCTGCAAGCTATACCTAAACACAGAGCTACCAGGAAATAAATACCAGGCTTTAAATTTTGAAGAAGAGAGGAGAGAAACAAAGCAGATGGATTCAAGCTATTAAGTATGAACTGACAAAATACGCTTCTTGAGTTTCTGGCAGCCTATAAAACTCATTCATTCTCAACTTAGATTGCCACCTGGTATGAAGCTCTGCATGGTCCAGTGAAATTCACTTACCTTCACATTAGGGCCATCTTCCAACAGCGACCTGCTCCCTGTCCCAACTGCGTCACATTTATCTGGAAAGACCAGCTCTGCAGAGGAAGTGAAACAGATGGACGTGAAGCTATGTTAGATATTACAAGAGCACTTTTCACAGAGAGCAAGTATAAAAAGTTGCCCGATTAGTTCTAGAAGACAAATTTCTAGAACTCAAAACTCCACATGCATGTAGCTGTATTTCAGACAAATAAGAAGGTTATCGTCAGTTCTCGCATCTGACGGCACTTCCTATTCAGGGTTATCATCATCAACAGCCAACAACCTTTGTATTTGATTACTTAAAACACAGCAATTGTTTCATCCTGAACCAACAGTTGTGCATTTTCCCCTTTGTTTATAAAAGACGTTAGCTCTATTAACTGAATGGCACATAAAATTAGTTTTAATTAGTTTTTATTTAACTTACTTTATGATGCAATTGTTACAGGTTACTTTTGACTAACAGTCCTGTATTTAACTGCTTTATATCATTAGCATGTAAGTAAAGGCCTGGAACCTTCTTAACTTTACGCACCTTAGTACAAAAACTTTAATTTCCTCTTCACTTCAAGACATCCTTCTGCTGTGGGAATAAAAGCAAAAGAAGCATTACTACAACACTCTTCAGCAGTAATTTTAGAAAATTATAAAGGAGCTTTACCCAGAGGGGGGAAAAAAACTCTCCAACCAAAAACCCCACCAAAACCAGAATCTCACCACCAACAGTCTGCTTGTAATTCCACCAGTTTGTGTTGATATTACAAATCACCAAAATATGTGTATCACTCAGCTTTTAATAGTAAACAGTCCTCTCTAAACTGTTTTTAGCCAGGAAACTTAGAAATCTCCCTTATGCAGCTTGCCAGACTGCATTTACCCTAAGGGCAATTTTAAAATTGAAATTCCAAACAACGCCAATTCTAAGGTTGCAACATTCATGGCACAGAAAGGGTCTGGCACGCTAACCACACAAGCGTTACCTCCACGGCCCTTACACAGCTCTGAGCTTGGCAGGACTCTGCCCCAGCAGTATGTGACTGCTGTGAGCAACAAGAGACTAGCCTGAAAGCAGCCAGGAAGCTCATGAGGAGGAAGTAACCGAACCTGAATAGGCTTTACCCTCCCAAGCCTTTCACTGCAAGCTCCACGAGCTCACCAAAGGCAGCACCACCCCGACTGCGCCTCAGGCAGCGAACAGCAGCAATACCTGGCGTTACCTCACACATAAAGCAAGCTCTCAGGCCTCCCAACCCAACCGAGCCCTTTTTAACTTACCGGGGAGCCGTTTCAGCAGCCCCGGCGCAGTTCCAGCCCCGCTCCTGGCGTCCCGGCGGCCGGGATCGGCCGGTACCGGTGCCCAGCTCCATGGCCGGCCTGCGGGGACAAGGGCAGTCAGGCGACACCTGCTCCAAGGCCGCACCCCCCCCGCCCGCGGAACTCCGGCCTCAACAGCGCCCCCCCCCCCCGCCGCTGCCTCCAATGGTCGAGTCCAGCCCGAGCGGCCCTGGGGACGGGGAGGCGCGGCGGACGCCACCACTGCCGGGCAGGGAGGAATGCGGGGGGTGGAGGCCCTCATCTCAACTCCGCGGCGGAAAGGCCCCCTCTAAAAGAGAAAGGCGGCTCACTCCGCAAGCCGGGCCTCCGCGTCCGCCCCGCCCGCCCGGCCCCGGCTCCGCGCACCCCGTCTTACCCGCTCCCAGGCACGCGGCACGAAAAGGCTCGGAAGTCTACGGCGGCCGGTTATAAAGGTTTGGGACGTACCACCCCGCGGCGGGGGGAACGGACCGTGCCACTGCTCCAGCAAGGGGGGGGGGGGGGGAGGGGTCCCTTTCCTGCAGCGCTGTGCGGGAGGGAGGCGGACGTCGGGGCTTCCCTCGGCCTCGCTAGGCCGGTATAACCCTAATTTTAGGCACCCCTCTACTCCGTGGAAAGCAAGAAAGGGGGTTCATTAAGACCGGGCTGGGACAGGCTACACCCCGAAGCAGGGACCCTCATCTTGCCCCCAGGAAGGCACAAGGCCCATTTGGGACAGCCAAGGGAGCATCTGCAGGCCCTCCACCAAGAAGTGCAGCACTGTCCTTTGTTAGTAATGTTCCAGCAAAACTGGATAGGTCAGGGTGATTTCAGACCACTTTTATTTGGAACAGAACAGCTGTTTTAAATAAAGCTTCCATTATTTTCACATTATGTCATCTTGAACTGAAAATGAGGGGGGTTTTGCTTTCCTGTTCCCTGTTTAGTAAACACATAGGCCATCATCTTAAAACAAACAAACAAACAAAAAAAAACCAAAACCAAACCTAACTTTCAAGTGTCACCATCAACACCATGTGTTCAGAGTCTGCCTAAGGACAGCTGCAGGCACAGAGCCCATAACCCCCACAACAATTTCTTTTGCACAATGTAACAGCTGCCTGAATCATTTACCCCAAAAAATACCTTTTTAAAACAGCAAAAGCTTTCTAGGAGAAGTAGTGTGGTCCTATAATGGGTCACCTAAAATTCAGAACTATTTTTTCCTCCACAGCATAGATTCTTCAGCAAAAGCCAAAGCCAAACTTACTGCCATTTTCAATGTAAGTTCATTGTAGTAAAAATACATAGGTTGCACGTCTCAGTATCAGAACATCAACTTCTGCATCAAATTCCTTGAAGGTGATAATATCTGGGAGTTCAGTGAAAGATCAAGAACACATTTGCTAAGAGCAAAACATATGACCACAAAGAGAAGGGGCCTTACAACAAAATTCACTCTGCAATCTCTCTCTAGGTCAAGTAGATTTAAGTTAACCGTGGTGAGGAAAAAGCATTCACTGAAGATTCAGTGCTCATTTTTAATTATCAAAATCCAGCAGTTCATGTTCAGCTAACTAAGTTAGACCAAAGCTAGAATTCCTGATACCAGCAAACACTTTTCAAGGCTTCTCTGTACACCATCAAAAAGCAAAACCAGGCAAACACTCAATTACAAAAAACCCTCTCTATATGGCCCTTCAACAGTAAACCTCTATTTTTCTTGCAGCTAAGCTACCATGGTCTCATTAACCCACATAAGCCTCCCCCAAACCATAAACATGACAGAGCCAGCTAAGGTGGAGGCATTTCTAAGGTGTGTTTATGACTACCTAGAAGACAGAAGCGGTGTTAATGGCTCCTCTTCCTCAAACACAAGCCTTTGCCTAAATAGCTTTTCTTGATTTCACACACCCATTAGTTTAGATCTTTTGTATCAGCTGAAGAGATAATCTATTCCCATTCTGCCCTTCATACCAGTTAGTCCGTCCTTCACCAGGCTCAAGTTATGAGTATTTACATGGAAACACAGTGGTTATCAGCAACATTAACAGTAGAGCACAACCAGTTGCCAAGCTTAAAAACTTGTAAGGGTTCACAAAAATGCAGAAGCCTGTCTTAGGCCAGGTGCATGATTCATATCTACCACCTCCTTTCAGGAAAAGGAAAGGTCATAATGGATTCAAAGCAGTAATACAATACAAAGGTTTACTGGCAAAAAGACACTGGTTAAATTTTATCAGGATCTTGAGAAGTGGGTATGGTATGGGTATGTTTCTATTTGAAAGCTTTGAAAGGGATATTAATGAAAGCACATGTTAAAATGAAATATTACAGTGATCAGACATTGCAGTCATTTACTCTCAACAGTACTTTTATGAGACATAGTTATATATTCAATAATTAAATATAAAATCAAGGATGAGTGTCACAAAACAAGGAAAGAATAAGGCTTGAAGCCCAGTCAGTCCCCAGATTACCTTTCCAGTCACTGTACCTTTCATTTTTACCTTTAATTTTACATGCTGCTGTTCTTACACATTATAAAGCAATAAGAAAAGTTAATTGCAGATTCTTTGCTTTTGTGAAGCCTCAAACCTACTTCAACTTAGTACAAAAATAGGGGGAAAAAAAAAGATAAAACATTTGTTTGTTAAAAAGCAGAAAGGGGAAGAGATATTCATAGACATTTTGGACTGACAACCTAGGAAATAAGGACAATGCAAACAGATTTTCAGACTATCAAACAATGTTTTTGCTACCTGTTCTGTTTACCACAATGTGATGTGCTAGCATTATTCCTTATTTAGGGTTATTGGCAATCAAAATAAATGCCATAGGCAACAAGAAAAAACTGCAGTTGCACACTGGTCAAACCTTTTTCCTACCTAGAGAGGGTATGCGGGTAAAAAAGCTGAACGTAACAAGTCAACCATGTGCACATCCACATGTACTATACAATACGAACATTCAAAAATATTGACATGAGACAGTGATCCTATACTTTTCCTTTTCTCTTTCAGTTACATATATATATATAGTTAGAACAGCACATAGGAAAACACCACTATAGCTTTCACCATGGCCAACAGGATGATTCTCACAAATATAAAAACGTATGCTTTTAAATTGTTAGATTTCTTCAAAACATAATACAGAGGAAATGAAAGGAATATAATTTCTCATCATGTAACCAAAAAAAAAAAAAATTTAAACCCTTGGGAATTTACAGAATTCTCAAACATCCAACTTTGCAGTCCTGAACATCTCAATCCCTACTACAGCAGAACATAGTATCACCAAAATAAATGAACTGAACTCCTTGAGAGCAGTGATGCTACTTGGATACTATGTGAAACTTCACTGTACTAAAATGTTTAACTTGGATTTACATTCAGTATTTTGGAGGAAGGGAACGCGATAGTCCCTTCATGCTTTATCCTTGCTGGCTGCCTACCCAGGAAGCATTATTGTTATTACTTCAAGAGGAAAGGAAAGGTGCTGGTAAGAGCCAGAAGGGCAAGGCAATGATGTTGATAATGAAATGCTCTGTTCTTTGGATGAACTGTGTAAAGTATTTTGTTAAAAGGCTCCATGTTAAAAATATTAAGAACAAAAAGGTTTTGTTAAAAATACAGAGCATTTCTGCCTCTTAAGTTCAAAGCTTGGGGAAAAGTGTTTTGCTAGAATTAACTACAGGTTTGCTGTAATAAACATATATGACAATGCCCTACGTAACACAGGGCCAACCACAGACTCCAG